ATTAATTTCACTCATTCCGTATCAATATGCACAGACCGTCACTATGTTTTTCCTCTCTCCTTATGGATGGATGTGTCAAATTGACAGGATTTGGACGTTTTAAAAAAACGCAGCAAAGCTACAGAGCTCAGGGAACGAAATACGAAATAACCGCTCGAATATGCTTCCGCGAGTCATTTCTTTGGGCTACGTAGGTTATGAAATTTCGACTAAAAAACGAACTGCAACTTGTAAAACATGTAAGAAAAGAATATCGGATGGAGATGCCACGACGTCCAACTTTGTCCGGCATTTGAAGCTTCACAAAGATCGGTAGGTGGCGCTTTTCTTTTGCTGTAAGATAGTTGACTTTAGCTAAGGTGGGGACTCGAGTCACATGACTTGGACTCGAGTCGTTAAAATCACGACTTGAGAATTGACTCGGACTTGAGGACAGAGACTTGAGACTTACTTGAGACTTGCAACACAGTGACTTGGTCACACCTCTGGTTAGCATAGCTGCCTTCCAAGCAGTTGACCTGGGTTCGAATCCCGGCCAATGCAGCTCCTCTCTACCCTGTAAGTCGCTTTGGATTCAATTCAATTCAATTTTATTTATATAGCGCCACATCACAACAACAGTTGTCTCACAGCTTTCCAAACAGAGCAGGTCAGACCTACTCTGAAGTTAACTACAAAAACCCAACAATTCCCACAGATAAAAGCGTCTGCCAAATGCATGAATATGAATATGAATATGAATATGAATATGAATATGAATATGAATATGAAGGCCCCCCCCCCTGCTGCCCAGGTCCGGTGGTGGCCGGCGTGGTCGGGACCAAGATGCCTCGCTACTGCCTGTTTGGGGACACGGTCAACACGGCGTCCAGGATGGAGTCTACCAGCCTGGGTGAGCCGGGCCGCTGCCAGAGGGCCCAAAACAGACTAAAAACAGGAAAGAAGTCAATAAAAACAGGAAAAGACGGATGAAATGATCAGAAAAGGGCGAAAAACCAGACTAAAAATGGTAAAACAAGTCAAAAACAGACTAAAAATGGTAAAACAAACCAATAAATACCATAAAAGACAGACGAAATGATCAGAAAAGGACGAAAAACCAGACTAAAAATGGTAAAACAAACCAATAAATACCATAAAAGACGGATGAAATGATCAGAAAAGGGCGAAAAACCATACTAAAAATGGTAAAACAAACCAATAAGTACCATAAAAGACGGATGAAATGATCAGAAAAGGGCTAAAAAACTGACTAAAAACAGGAAACAAGTCAATAAATACCATCAAAGACGGATGAAATGATCAGAAAAGAACGAAAAACCAGACTAAAAATGGCAAAACAAACCAATAAATACCATAAAAGACGGATGAAATTATCAGAAA